AAGCCCCTCTAACACACCTCTCAATACGGCAATGACAGAAGCAGGACAAACTGCTCATAGGTATCAGCCAGCCTTTACTATGCTCCATTCACATCATGAAGCCCTTTCATTATGGCATCTCCTCTAACACACCCGTTTTACATCTCTCAGTGTTGTTTTATCTAAGAGAAAAAGCCATTCATAGTTTAACATTAATATAATCTGTTAAGCAGCAAGCCAAGCAATTTGTTTGTGCAAGCTTCTGCTTTAAATACATTAATTATTTCTATTTCAAACCTCTGTTAAAAGTTACCAAAGTATAAGATTAAAACCAGACAGTTGCTTAGTAATCAGATTTCTACACACTTGTTAACATTTACCTTACAAATTTGTGGGAATAATAATTAAGAACAGTATCTTGCACCGTAACAGCATGCAGACAAACATTAACTGCAGAAGAAAAATAACTAAAGTAAGATCAATTTGGAACAGTTTATTGCTGTGAAACAAAAATTAAAGATAGTAAGCAGCAAACTAACATGCAACACAAGACTTCATAATACATACCAGTACCAAGTCAGTTCAGGGAATAGACTTTATGTGTATAGAAGTTATTTGAGCTTTTCTACATTTAGATTTAATTAATCCCATACTAATTAAAAATAGAAGAGCCACAAATTTTAAAGTTAGTCTTCACTCGTACTACTTAGGAGGGTTTTTTTTTTTTTTAAACATTTTTCCCCCACTATTATTGAACCACTACATGTCTTCTTATATATGCAGTGAAGAAACAAAGCCTATTTCAGCCTGAAACACTTTCAGAAGCCAAGTTTAATCCTGCTTTTAAATAGCTGAAATTTTTTCCACAAGACACCTCTCACTTTCCAGCTCAAGTACCAATTCACAGAGTCAATTGATTAAGTTTCAATAGAAAAAATAAAGACAAACATTTTAAGTAAAAAATTTATAAGCATATAAGTAAGAACTTACTCAAAAGGCAAAAAAATGTAAACTGTGGTTTTGCAAGTGGAACATTTAAATTGAGATTTAAAAATATTAACAGGTATGATTTTATGTCAAAATATGATATCATCACGTTACCAAGAACTGAGATGCTTCAAAGTAAAAGAACTGCTTTTTCTCTCTCAAGTATATTTTATTAGACACGGTTATTCCCATCCTTAATCCTAAATCAGATCGGCATTATAAGGAGTTATTTTTAATTCTTCTCCTTTTCCACACGATAAGCATGGCAGTAACCTTCAAGTCAGATACATACTTGCACTGCCTCACGTTCCTGACCAAAGGGTACATTAAGCAGGGAGCTGCTACTACTTGACATGCTCACTATGAGAGCAATGTTAGTGTTTATTGTTGACTTGATTTTGAAATGTGAGAGTGGTGCAGCAAGTAAATATCAAACAGAACATATTGTACCAGCTGACACACTGATTATGCATATGTCACTTCAGTGAGGTTCTCTTCGCGCCTGCTCAACTGCAATTAGATCAAGGAGGACACGATACTAACTGAGAATGTATTTATTAAGCCTTATACTTACATTTTCAGTTAGTAAGCCTTATAACATATAAAGCATAGGATTTATTTAAATAGTATTTACAAATCTTAGCATATTTACATTTAAGTATCAACAGCTATTTTAAGAAGTATTTTGTTTGGAGAGAGTGCTTTATTTATAAAATGGCTATGCGGTTACACAAAGCCCTCTGATTCAGTACCAAATCTTACATAAATGTATCAACAACACGACTTTCACTTTCTAGGGAGGAATGAGTCTAGCAAAGCTTTATTTGCCTGTTTTTCAAACAGGTCCTACTCAGCTTCCCATCAAGGTTTAATGTGATAACAAGTCAGTCAGTCAGCTGCTCAAGGTTATAGAAGATTATGAGATCCTCCTACTACTTGACATTAGCCACAAGGATTTTTACATTCTCGCCGTGAATCTCAGAAATAAATATAAGCAGGCCAACAGAAACGTATCATTTTGAGACTGATTTTCACAGGATATTTTTCTTCAGGAATAAATCATATGGGTATGGGATAAAGCAATAAAAGTGAAGAATGAATTCATAGCGGTGCTCTGAGTAGGTAAAAAGCAGGACAAATTTCTACCTGCCAAAGGCAAATATTTGCATTCGTCAGCTTGCAAGATAAATGTCTTGAGAAGAATTTTAGCTACATGTATGAGGAAGAAAGAGTAAATATCAGCTGCTATAGAAAAAAACAGCATGACTTAGACGAAGCATAAGTACGAGGTCCTACAGAGATGTCAGAAGACAAAGAGAAGACACATCCAATTACAGTCCTTAATGAACGTGTCATCCAAAGTTACCAAGGAAGAGGAGTGAAGGACGGTCTGGAGAAAACTATTTTAAACCCTCCTGCACCTTGCTAGTGTCTATCTACCACACAGTAAAATATGGGAGAGAGGTTGGCATTTTAATTAGGACAGGAAAAATCCTTTCTAAAGCAGAGGTTTAGACATGACAGTTGCTGCCACAGAAATTAGCTGCCTACAGATGACAGTACTTAAAAATAAGGCAGAGAAGAAAAAAATCCACCAAAACCCAAACCTCAGGCCTACTTAAAAACAGCTAGAAAGAGAGACTAAAGGGGAAAGTCAAGAGCAGGAGACAGAATAATTGCTAGCACTAAGAGCACAAGGTTTCAAATAACTATAGATCAAAACAAAACAAAAAAGGAGTAGGTATCCTTCAGCATAAGCAGGAATATAATGAAATACTTTTCATTAAAGCCATTGTATTCTAGCAGATCATATAGAGGTCTATGATTTAGCCACCAATTTTTAATTAGAAATTCACTTGATTTGTGCCATAAATGTTTAACAACATACTGTAGGGACTGTTCGTAGGTGAATCCTATGGAAAGGATAATTTTAACATTTCTGGATTTTTTTCCCCACTTTGAAAAATCAGCCCATTAGTTTTTCCATCCTCTTTCCCCCTCCCCTACCAAGAACTATATTTGCTTAAATATTTTACTGTTCCCTCCCTTATAAAATGCTTCTTACAGCAGTGCTGGCAAAAATACATTTCAAATTTTTTTACTACAACAGAACTGTTGTACAAAGGGAAAACAAAAAATATCAACGTTTTTCAAATGATTCTTTCTTTTTGTACTAACCATATTTTAGAAGTAGAATTCAAATGAGTCTGAGTTTTAATTTGTTTTTATGTTTTACTTCAGAACATTTAACTCCTTAACTATGGTATTGTAAACGAGAGTTTGATTTAGCTTCAAATTCTACCTCAAAAGAAACTGGGATTAAACTTCCTGAACCTTCCCCTTTAATAGAAAACAGCTTAGAAGCTGTATTTAATACAATTTGAAACTATCTTCCACCCATGAAAGCCTACCCACACATATGTTTTGGGGGCTGACTTGTTTTTTAATGACACTACTGTAAATTAATGTAATCAATGCTAGCAGCTTCCAAAATGTGCTAAAAAGACTGCAGCTCTTTATAAAGCTACCATAAAATTCCTTAAGGAAAAGGATACATGCAGCTCAGCTACAACAAAACAATTTAAACAGCAAGCTATGCAGCTCCTACCCATGTAAAAGTGGAAATCACAAGCTAATTTCATCAACGATGAAGGAGATGAGCTACATATAACTGAAATACAAAAAAGCATAGTTCTGTGATTATAAAGTGTATCACTACAAAAATGCAACCTCTGAAAGTTGAGCTACTGCTCTTTTTGTTAAGAGGCGAAAAACTATCATTCAAGGGGAGTGCATTAAGTAAAATTGCCAATGCTGAAAAATATCTAGCAAAAATTGCAGTGCATTGGGATGCACCAGCTCCCGATCCTTTTACTGTTTAGTTACAAATCATTCCAGCTTTGCACTAAAGAAAAAAACGGAGAAAAGAGGACAGCTTTCATCAAGGAGATATAATGAAAATGGGACTTCAGCTATAGAAAAGTGATTAATGCCACAGGAAAAATGCTAGATCATCTGGATTCTAAAGAAAATAGTAAGTTATAAAGCTACAGAAGCACACGGAGCCTGTGATATCCTGCATTATCCATTCGTACAAACAGCTCACTTCCCTCACAACTACTGCTTCTGAGCATGCGAGTACAACGCCAGTTCGCTCATCATTCACAGTAGTTTAACGGTAGCCTGACAGAGAAGCAGCATTGTAATAACTTCTTGCATCGTTATCATGAAAGCTTCTCCATTAATAAATGTGGTGTATTTGTGTGTCATTTTTTTAAATTGGATATGTAGAAACACACAAATCTTGTAAATTCAACTTTAAAATGTCTTCAATTATCTTCTATACTTTAACTCGAAGCCTACCAGGAAATTTGGATGACTTGAGGATTAATTCTAATAATAACGTAATATTGTACCAGAGTGATAAATGAAAATTGCACTTGTTGACAACACTTAGCTTTTCTATTTAACAGAACCTCTTCAGAGCATAGAAGGGGAAAAACAAACTGCAAGATATGTGCAGCTTCGTTATACATTTTACATAATATGAGTGACATCGTTCACTATTGAGAATGGCTTCTTAACTTAAACAACAAGATCCCATTAAGCAAGTTTAAAATAGAAGCAGCTCTCTAGTAAAGAAGATTTTGGATAGTCTTCAAGTCCCAAATTAACAAGGGAGGCAGACAGGTTCTCTTGCAACAATTTTCTGTTGTAGGCTTGCAGTATTACAACTTCCATTTCTAAAAAAGGAAACGCTCCCAAAATTAGATATGAAGAAACTCCCTTTATGAAATGGGCTACTGTCCTTCCTCACCCACTCAAAACTACAGCAACACATGGAGCACTAAAGGTCTTATTGTTGTTATCAGCTTGACAGCTAAACAAAGATAAAAAAGGCAGGAAGAAATATTCCGTCACACAGTTACAGCAGATTCGCTATTACGAATTATCACCAACTCCTCCAGCATTTTGGGTCCTGAAGGACAATCCAATTCAAATTTTGTGACATGTCTTCTGCAGTCTTAACATACCTTCTACTTTCATGCACAACTAGATTTTTTTTTTCCCTGAGGTTCAAAAATTCTTCTGTTTCTGGGGGGAGGAAGGACAGGGGAGAGTGCATCAGCAGACAGAAGAAGATCCAATGATTCAGCCTTCTCTTTTCCTTCCCAGTAAATTCTGTATTAGATTATGAACTGGATTTCCTGAAACTCTTCCTCTTCCTGAAGCTGTCTCTTTCCCACCCTGGGAAAAGGATAGCAACAGACATATTGAATCACTGTTATGGGCATACAGATGCCTGAAATGAAATCCTTCAACTCCAAAAAGTTAGATATGAACACACGTTTGCTAACTGTTCTGATAACAAATGATAAGCCTGCCTCATACCAGTGGGAGCAGTCAAAAAAGCCTACAGAACTTCTTTCACTTTTGCTGCTGGTTACAAAGGGCAAGGTCAGAGGAGTCACAGAACTATCATTTAACTTGTTTCTTTTCCCTCCCTCCTGGCCAATGCCATAGGTGCACAGTTTTCTAGGAAAGAAGTACTTGGGTACTCTTTCAAGGGCCTCAAGAAAACTGCAAAGCATTCAGGTAGATGGCAATAGGAAGCACTTAGGAAAAATCAAAAATATCCAAATAAAAGCTTAACTGAGCAAATCCACCACTTGAAATTTTGTTTTTCTTGGAGCCTGTATCTTTGTCTTCCATGTTATGTAGCAACTTAGTTCACGATGCACAGAATAAATTAAGTAAAGTCTATCCTACTTGCCTTTATTACGATACTGAATAAAAAATGTATTTGACATTTGTCTTGATTAAAAAAAAGTTTGTTTTTTTCCCCAGTCGGTTGTTTTCCCTTCCAGATTGGTCTCGTGTAGGAAGGTCTTGTAGTTTCTGATTGTTTGGAAAACAAAATATTTCCACCTAGCTATATGAAGTATTAAAATCATATTATGAGTTTAGGGTAATCAAAGGATAATAATACAGTACTGTAAAGTTATCTAAAACCAGTTTCAAGAGCAAATCTAGACTTTTAGAAAATGCAGGTTTAAGAAGACAGTTTAAGAAACAGAAATCATCAAGATCTAAAACAGTTCTTACATCCGTTTATATGGCATCATGAAGGCTATGAGCATCGCACAGACAATACTACAGAAATGGAAATATACTAAGCGTTAAGAGAAAAATATTAGCATGAAGATTTAACAGTTATACAAAAGAGCACTGTAAAAGACGTCTGCCAGTACTCACTGACCAAGAGGATTAATTTCCAACTAAGACAAATAATGGAATCTGTATTAAGAAAGGCTACCAGTGACAAAAAATGTGAAGATATTAGAGAGAAATACAATGGAAATAGACAACACAAACAACGGAAAATTGCTTGAATTAAAGTTTGAATTACAACTGAAAAAAATTCAAATCATGAATGAACAATTTTTCTGCAGAAAACCTGAATGAAGTTTCATCTTTATGAACAAAAACCAGGAAAAGCCTCCGAGAAAGAGATGAGTTTAAAAAAGTGGGTAAGGGAAGAGGAGACAAGGTAGTTTTCATATTTGTCAAAAGAATCAATAAGGACCACAAAATTGCATGTTATCATAAATGATTCTTCCTTACTTATGTAAAGGAAACACAACATTATATGTTCTATTTAGAGAAAAGTCATTTGTGCAACCTTAGGCAGATAGTTCTCTGACTTCACATTTTAACCATGATTTTAACTGTCTCAAAACACAGTCTCCGAAAAGGCAGTCATTCAGTTGCCAAGACTGCAGATGACAAGTTGCCTTGCCTTTGCTCCATTAAAATAGGGACACTCTTACACATCAAAAGACAACCCCTGGCCAACAGACTTTGTCAGATCTGTAAAACCTCAGGAGGTTTAACAGACCTCACAGACTTTTTCATTAGAAAAGTAGGAGTCTTGGTACACTAGCACTTTATATGTGCTTATTTTGATTGCCCCACAATAACACCGAATTTTGCAGGTCTTTCTAAGAAGTATCTGCACTACTGTAAAGCAATGCAGGTACTTAAGAAAAAATAAAAGAAAGAAAGAACAGCTCGATGGCAGCACGAGTGTCACGAAACCTCGGCGCAGCTCCAGCAGGCAGGGCGGCACCCCCGAGCGAGCCCTTCCCTGCACGGCTCCCAGGGAGCCCCAGGGAGCAGGGCAAAGCAGAGGCAAACGGTAGAAGCCAGACACGGCCGCACCTGCGGGCGAGGCCCGG